GATGATGGAGGCTTGCGCGGCGAAGTCGGCTATTGTCACGGGTGTGTCGTCGCTTTTGTCGAGGAAGCCTTTGTCGACGGCGGAGAGGAGGCGTTTCGTGAGAAGTGCGGCGCGCTGGACTGCGAGGCAGGCGAGCTCGAGCTCTTTCGTGTACGTGGGGGAAGAGCTCATTGTGGTGAAATTGACTGTAGCATTGAGATCCCAGGGTGGTTGAATTGGACCCCAAGTCAATCCTGTTGGAATGTGGTAAGTGGGTGCGTGACGCAGCCAGCACATCTGGCGAGAACACACCGCCCCACTGTCATCACGGGCGAAATCAAGTTTGCTATTTTAGGTGGGGCTTGAGAGTATTTGAAGAAAGAATAAGGAGGTAGAAATGTGATGGCAACTTGCATAATACTTTACGTGGGTGGGCTTGACATAGTGGGTGGGAGGGATATATATATCTTGGCCACCACGAACCGATATACATCAGAACTACACCAGGAGAACCCTCTTAAAAGCAACTTACTGATGATGCGGACATCATCCGAATAAACATAATAGATAAACTCATTGATGCTGGTTTGAATGCCCCTCCTGTGAGGAAACCAACTACGTATAAAATAAACAAGTACGCCCGACCCGAAAAACATGCCCATGCCAGGACCGAACCAATAATAAGAAAAAAACAAGATGGTATTAAAACGGCGCAAAGGCCAGCTCATAGGCAAAGGCAAGGCTCATCTTCGCATGCTGCAACATGTGGTCGAAGCTCAGGTACTTGATCTTATCTTCGGTCGAGTGGATCTTCTTGTCGGAGTGCTCGAATTGAGACTCAATGACAAAGGCGGAGGGGTAGCCGAATCGGCTGGCGGAGGCGTGGTCGGAGCATGCGTAGCCGCACTTGGTTTCGACAAAGGGGATGTCGCAGTACTGCAATACAATCAGTATGAAACAGATATTGGGGGCGCCGGTTCTGAAACTTACAGTGGTGATCACTTCCTTGATGAACGAGGTGAGTCCCGGGTCGACGTAGTCGACGATGACTCCGACAGACTCCTCGAGACCGGCATCCAGAGTTCCCTGGACATAGCCGGTCATATCCTGCTGCAGCATGGCGCGGATCTCGCGCAAGTCCTTCTTGTACTGCGAGTAGACCGCTTGAGAACCCAGCAAGCCGCCCTCCTCCGCAGAGTACCAGTGGAACTCGAGCGTGTTCGGCGCCTGGCCGTGCGAAATCGTCTCGGACCGCAGCAGGGACCGGAGGGATTCGAGGATGGTGACTGTCCCACTGCCGTCGTCATCCGCACCTGGCGCAGCCAGGATCGACGGAAGGAACAGGTTGATGCTGTCCTGATGCGCACTCAGCACCACGGTGTTGTTGGTCTGGCCGGGGATGCGCGCGATGATGCTGAACTGGCCCCATGGGTGAGGGAACTTGGTGACGGTCGCGCCGTGCTCGGTGGCGCCCGACTCGGTGAGCACTGACGTGACTTGGTCATACAGCCACGTTGCGGACTCGATGCCCGTCTCGGATTTGTAGTATCGCGTGTGGAAGGAGGTGAAGTGTTCGAGGTTCTTGTACATGTGATCCGTGGACAGTTCCTTCAGGAGGGGCTCGACGTCTGGTTGGTGCTGCATCTCGACGGGATATCGGACAACATGTTTGGTATGCAGGGTGCCGTAGGCTCCGGATTGGAACTCATCCGTTACATCCATGAACGTGACGCCATCCTACAGCCAGGTCAATCAGTGAGGGGCACGCGACAGAGCAGCTAACGACACCACCATACCAGTTTCAGCTCCCATTTCTCTTCCTCGGTCACCCATCGCGTGCGATAGGGTGCCAACTCGATCAGGTATTTTGTGAGCTGCTGGTTCTGAACGACCGAGGGTGTTAAGCGCCCGAGTGGTTCTTGCTGCTGGATGCCCGTGGCCAGCACGGCCGTGGATGTTGCGCTCAGCGCAAGAGGGATCGCGAATTTCATTGTGGCGACAGAATGGGAATAATCTTGTCAATGGGAGGGCTTGCCTCGACCAGGGGAAAATGGGTGTGTTTATGGAATTGAGTCCAGGCGGCAGCGGGTAGAAGAGGAGACGGCCGGATCACGGGGTCTGGTTGGATCATTACCGGTTTTGGCCCCGAGAGTGAGACAGCTGGCGGTGATAAGGGGACTACTAGTCGACTATCGATTATTTTGATTAACTCACGATACACAACGATTCGCAGCTAGCCATTCCCGTCCTTACATCATGACTTTCATATCTCGTTCTCACTAAGCACTCTGCCAGCCATCACTGCGTCCATAGCGTCATTCCGGGGGAAGGAATGAATGGGTGGTGGAGCAGCTCCACTGTTCGGCGCGACTCAGCCGTGTGATCGCGACATCTCAGCAGGTGCTCCTCAGCCTGTTCCAGCCCGAGTCCGTGTTCCAAGGCACGGACCACACGTGACTCAACCTGACTCAACCGGGGTCTCACGTGACTGGCTCGCCTTCCACCAATCGTTCCGCACATGTGACTCAGGACAATGGGATCGATGGTCTTATCTCGAGTCCCCTCATCTCTCATCTCTTCTTCTTATCCCATTCTCTCCTCCTTCTCATCGTCTTCTATTCTTATTCTATTCGATTCCTTGATCTTTGATCTTCCTAACGAGACTAGGCCGTCGCATCCCGGACAGACCATCCACCCACCATGGCCATCCATCCCGCTGTGCCTTCTTCTTCCTCCCCGAGGCTCGCGCCGCACCAGGCCCGCGCCATCTCTGCTTGGACGGAGCAAGCAGCGGCTTCACTCCAGGGGTTGACCCTATCCGAGTCTGCTCCCACCACCGATGGGCCCGCGCGAAACATCACCCCGACGCGTTCCCCTCTACGCGGTGCGACCATGGGCCTGTCAATCCCTCTGGACGATCAGCCCCAGGCCACCGGGTCCCCGCAACAGGTCAAGGTGGTGCCAGCCGGTGAGACTCGTCCCGCTCCGAGCGTCAGTTTCCGTCGTCGCGAGCCTCTGCGCCGAGATAGCATGAAGCGACGCGAGGCCATGTTAAAGGGCAAGGACGGGAGCCGGCGCCGACAGCGTTGGGAGAATGGTATGTTCGGTCGGGCAGAATAGTTGAGGATGTCCGATTGGAATTCGGTCTGGATGGGCTGACCTGAGATCAAAGACCGTCTGCTGCACAACCCGTGGGCCGAACCCCCGTCTCCGAAGGACTGGGATATCCAGCCTACGTACCCCCGGCACGACCCCATGCCCTACTACCTAGCGCCGCTCTGGGATGTTCACTACGCCTATGTGGCAGACCACAATTTGGCCAAGAGGTCTGCCAAGGCCACAGACAATGAGAAACGTCGCATCCCGAAAGAGCTCCGATTGAAGCTGAAACACGCTCGTGCCGCGCGCGGCATGCTCCAGGACTTGGAAGAGGATATCCGGCTCTTCATCCGGAAATGGAATGAGAAGCAGAGTCTGCTTCAGAATGAGGGCTTGCAGGATGCTCCCGGGTCGTCGGATACGGAGAACGACTCGGAGGATGAGATTGTCTTCGTCGGCCGCAATGGGCAGATGCACGACTCTCCGGAGCGCCAGCAGAAGCTGCGGCAGCTGCGCGAGGAGATGAACTCGCACCATGAGCGGGATGGTGAGAAGATGGTGTTTGAGAGTCTAGTCGACGACCGCGCGGCCGGGTTTGGGTCAGTATCTCTCTTTGTTTCTGACCCACACAGCACACTGACTCGTTCGCGTAGACGGTGGCTGGTCCACAGCATTGCCTCGTACTATGGCCTGCACACCTGGTCGGTCACCGTGGGCGATCCCGCCCGGCGCGAGGCGTACGTCGGCTTTCGTCCGCCCAGCCCCGGTAGCCGTGCAGGACCGGTGTGTCGTTCCGAGACCGTGATTCAGCCGGGACAGGAGCTGCCGCGGCCCCTTTACGCGCAGGTGTGATGGTTGTTGCACCGAGCCATTCCGCCGGGCAATGTAAAGATGCGATGACCATCTCCACTACTTCGTAGATACATATACAGATACATGATTGGATGATTTCCAAGGGATACATACATTCTAGAAGACGATCCATGTCGTCATGTCGGGCTCTAGTTTATCAGATGTCATGATCATCCACCCCCACCCCAGGTTCGTGGCACCACCATCAGGGGCCGGTGAACACACCGACAGTCCTGACACTCATTTGATCGACCACTGTTTAGTAACAGGAAGGGCCAAGAGAGTAGGAATATCCCGTAGCATGATTCAGGAACTAATAATCAGGAATAATCCAGTAAACTCATATTGATCTCTATAGACAAATGGACATCCCTACTCTCACTCTGGAACCAACTGACCTCGGACCGGTCCGCCTCCACAGTACCAGGAGAGTAGGATACATACACGCATCAGATAATTGCGCGCGGACCCATGGCAGTGCACCACCATGACATAATCCTTCTCGTGTCTAGACCGGCGACGATCTCACTGGTCCGACTGTGCGCAAAGGAGGGGAGGCCACGAGCAAATCACAGTCGACACCCAGTCTTGTCGCAGGGCCGAAGCGCCCGGTCAGCCTGTACAACCCTCGTTCGACAGACAACCTGGCGGGCATTCCTCGCCTCATTCTTGCCCTTCTCGTTCTCTTTCTTCTGCTTCGACCGACTCCCGCCTTGTTTGTTGATTGATCCCATCATTGGATTTTCCTTCACTTGTGATCCTTATGCTTTCTAATTGTCTGTCTTATTGTTGATTGTTTATCCCCATCATTCTTGTACGATTCTTCCTTCCAATCAGCCGGGCAATAGGTAATCTCAGCTGGAACGTGGATACGACTCTCTCCATTCATTCCAGATACCTTACTCCGTGGACTACTTCGATTCCACTGCGTCATGGGAATCTGACTCCCTTGTCTCGCCCGGACTAGTTATTTTGTCTCTCGTCATCGACCCATTCATTCATCGCTTCACCTTTGCATTTGATTATCGCCCTTCTTTCTCCCAACATCATTTCTCCTGATCTCGTCTGCGATGGGATCCTATAAATCATGTCAAGATCGCACCGTCAGCGCGGGCAGTTCGAGCTCCACCGAGAGCGATGCCTCGTATCCATCGCGTAGCACGGCCTTGACGGCTGTCAGTGACCGGCAGCCCGCCAGCCCAAAAGACGAATCGGACTGGGACGGCATGGAAGGGCCTCGGGACTCCGTCTCAACCTACGCCTCCACCACTGCATCTGCCGCCGTCGCGGCGACCGCGCCAGAAGAACAGCCACGGTATGAAGTCTACGACCGGAGACTGCAGGAGACCTTCCCGACAGATGTACTTGCATCCAGTCCGGCTTCGTTTGCGGCATTGTTTCCCTCGCCGCGCCGCCTACTGATCCGCCACGACGACGCGACGATCGACGGCAACATGAATCTCCGTGTAGATACCGTGGCTCCCTGCCGCGGGGGTTACAACCAAGATGTCATCCTTTTCCACCTTCGCATGTATGATCTCTTCACCCGCAAGTTCTCCTTCCGACGCTACTGCCGCGACTCCGGCCGGGAAGTGTGCCATTCCACCCGCAAGGAGACCTCCACGCCAAACAACGACCGCAACCCCTGCTCTCGCCGCCGCTCCTGGAGCAGCATGCTCGCCAGCATCCGGCCCGGCTCGAGCGGACAGGACTCCTCTACCGCCAGCCTGAAGCACCGGGATGCCTCCGGCTTCGGCGCTGTGCAGCAACACGACGAATCCCTCGATGAGCTCGATAGCACGGAGAAATCGTTTGGCGATGCCATACTCATGGAGTTCTCCAACTACGCTCACGTCGAGCTCAAGCGCCGCGGGGCGGGCCCTGCGAAGCGCTACGAGTACGAGTACTGGTCCACCAAGTACCAGTGGCGACGCGAGTTCCGCAAAGAAGGAGAACTGCGCGAGGTATCGTACCATCTCGTCGACACGCGCACCTCTAATACAATCGCCCACATGGTCCCTGAGATCCTGACGCCCCTGGAAGCGGGCGAGGAGGAGAGCAAGGGCGGGTGGGTTCCGCCGACATCACTGTGGATCAGTGATCCGAATGTGTATGAACGGATGCCCGACATTGCCGAGTAAGTGTGGATCCCTCATCCGTCTTCAGGGTTGTCTTGTTTTGCCGCTATTTGTTCCTCTACATCTACGCGAGATGGAGACCAGGATTTGCTAACACCCTCTAGCGTGATTGTGGCTACCGGTCTGATCGTCCTGGTAGACGACTGCATCCGTCGTCGCTGGCATCACGGGCGCCGGCTCCCCGCACGAACCGCTTTCGCGCGGAGGATGGAGCGCATGGGCCCTCGCCGGTTGATCGGCGAGGTCCTTCAGCGCCGGGGATCAGCGTAGGCGATCCGCTTCTATTATTCACTATTTTAGACGACGGCACTGGCCGCGGCTTGGCTCAATGCCACTAGACGATGGCGAACCATACTTCTATTGTCTTCTAGCAGCTTGGTCTGGTCCAAACCCCCTGTATAGCGTGTGCACGGGCTGCAATAATGATTTCTTTAACGAAGTAAACGACTCGATGACAGTGTTTCCTTTCTTTTGGGGTTGTTTTGTTTTGCTATTCAATTCTTGGAACGAAATGAAGCCGGCCTTTTTTTAAGCTTTACCGTTTTTAGTGTTCTCGACGGCGAAGATCCTTTTACAAGGTTTCAACTACTGCCAATCATTCCATTTTACTTCGCTTCTTGCACTCATATTTTGGGGCGGTTGAATTTCGGGTGAATTACGGAGCTTCCTTCCGTCTCTGACAGAGGAGGAATGGAAAACAGGCGGGCGTGTGATCGATCGATCAATGCATTAGTTAATGGCTAGGATGTATTTGATTTGGTTACGCGAATGAGAAAGCACTCGCTTGCTTGCGTGCGTATTTAGGACGTCAGTGTACATGGATATCTTCGTCCTCGTGCTGCGTTGCTATGCTGACGGTGCATGTTGGATGTAGTTAGCTGGAAATATAGCTGACCGCCGAACTTACTACTCACTTCAATAACAACAACAAACCCGCGTTCTGTAGCTTGTTTTTGTTTCATTTCTATTTTTATCCTATACACGGACTGCTGTGCGAGGCTACGCATACCTAGCCTGCCTCACCGGGGCAAGGGGGAAGGTAAATGATTGGCGCTGGATGAATCTTCGGCAGAGCGAGAACCGTGGTTCGTATCCTTGCCTGCCTTGCTGCCTTACAGCAACCACCAGCGCCAGATTAAGCTTGTCCCAATGCGGGGCTTAGATTGCCCTGTTTAATGCACTGGCTAAAGCCCAAACACCAGAACCCCCGGGCTGCTGTCTGTCTTGCGTGCATATGCTATGATATGCTGTTCTTGCCACAAGATAGGTGGACGGTTTTGATGTGAACCCAGGATGATTGTCCATAATGACGATGATGATGGTGCTCTGCAGGTATGAATGCCCAACTGGCCCAAAGGAAAGCGGCGAATCATGTAGTCCCTAAGAACTGGTTGTTTCTTCTATTATCTCTGCAGAGACGTTTATCCCGAGGCACGGGGCAAGGCGGGCTAACCGAGGATTTTCGCTCGGGCGTATCTTTGACTTCTGTCAACCATTCTAGCCCTATTATTTTTTGATTTCGTCCTCCAACCACACCACCCCTGCTCTAAACTAGCTACCCAGCTAACTAACTACTAACTAGCTACCTGACACACCCACACATACATACATACATACACACCAGCTGATACAAGCCTCAGCCAGGAAGCGAATGTGATGATGTTTTCCCTCTGTTGATTGATTGATGAGCTGGCAACGCCCGGCTGGCGCGCCCCCTCCTCCCCGGGTTTTCGTCTGCCCAACAAGAGAGAAATTCAGGCATAACTAATAATTCATAAGCTCTGTTTATTGGGCATACAAGGCTGTGGCAATCTGATCTATTCCAGAAGTTAAGGCGGCGGCTGTTCCGCATTGTCGGGGCACTGACACCCAGCTGCTGCTCATCAACCGTCGACGTGGGGTGCTCTGAGTTGTTCTTTTTTTCCCCATCCAATCCTGGGCATCCATTTATTCCCCCAGTTCAGTTCAAACTCCCTCACCGGACAGAAAGATAGAAATGGGTCTACTCTCTACCCACTCAGTCCCCCACTACGGTATGGTTATTCTCTGTCCCGCTATACTGTCTAGCAAGGTTGGATGGACAGTTTGGTCGCCGTGCGCCGGGCCGTTCCAGCTTGCAGGCTCCTAATTAATGATCCGCATATTCCATTCCCACTTACTAGTGGGGAATCTGGCTGATGCTGTGTGTCGATTGTCGCCCCCCTCCCTCCCTCCCCCATGTACATGCATAAGCCCGTTCTAGGTTTGACGGTTAGGCTCCATGTTTGTCACGCCAGGGGAAAAATTACATTTCATCATCCTACGCCGTTTTTTATTTGGCTTTTTCTTCACTTTTTATATATGCCTTCCGCTTCCCACCCTCCCCCCCTCTTCACTTTCTTTCATGATCCAATGACAGCTTCCTTCAAACATTTTGTTATCGCCAATTCCCATTGACTACCTATATCTACTGCTAGTCTCACCGTCTCAGTTCTTTTGTGTGCTGGCTTCTTTTCTGTCCATTCCTCCACACAACTATATTCTTTCTCAATTACCGTCCTCGATCCAACAATACTCTCTCTCGAGCACCCTAATACTTCCTCCGGCCACGATTGAAGCATAAAATCCCCAAAAATGTCACTGCCCACCGGTTCTCAAGGCGCTCCCGCTGGGACGCGACCTAGCTGGCAGGACCAGCTCCAAGGTAAGCCATTGGACACCACCCAACCCACGCGCTCACGGGCAACGATCAAAGTAATTGACTGACTGACATCGTGAAAAACAGATCATTGTCGGCGCACCAAGCTTCCGCCCCCTGTCTTCAACATTGTGTCCGATCGGCGAGGTACCTACCCGATTCCATTTTTGCCCTGCCCACCGTCTTTTCCCTCTCAGACCGTTTCAAATTTTTTTTCTTTCCTGTGTTTCGACACCTTGCCTTAGCGCTGCGTGTCTCGGCATTGCAGGGTGTGGAGACAAGAGTGAAAAAGCAAGAACTGCCCGTACACCGACTTTTTTTAGTCCGAGCTTTTGACAGCGGGATGCTGATTGTCCTTGCGTCGGAAATGCAGGAGGTCGCACCGCCTGGTCTAGTACCGTCTCGATTCAGGGCTATCAGAATTTCGCTGCCCGCTACTGGTATGATGGCCAGTACATCAACAATGCCAAAGAGGACGCCGCCGAGGTCGCCTTGAAGGTTCTCAACCAGCAGCCCGGCTCCTCCACCCACTATCCCGGCCAACTCTTCCCGCAACAGTCCCAGCCGACTACTCCAGGGTACGGCCGGGGATCTGGCGGGTTCTGATCCTTTCTTTCGTGTTTTCTGCATGGGCGGCCTTTTCTACTTGTGTGTTTTTATTCTCTTGTCTTTTGTTCTGTCGGGAGTTCCTTGCTTCTCCTGTGCTGCTGCTGCATTGACCTTTCAACTCATCTCGAGGAGACCCACACAGCATGTGCACGCACGCACGCACAAAAATCGCTGTTGTCTTTGTCCTTGGGCAAGGAAGAAACCAACAAACAGCACGCGCTCGCCCTCCGATCCCGCCGCACCGACGTCGTTCCTCTTCGAGTCCCGCAGACCGTAACTATACACTGATTTCCAATTGCTGGCAACCCCGGACAACCAAACCCGGCTGCACGACTGACCGTTCCGCAAGGGAGCGGGATTTGTCATGTTAGTTCTGCGGCTAAGCATCCGATTCGAAGAGAAACTTGGATGGGACGGAACGGCTGTCAGGGACGGAATAATGGACACATGATCCGTCGGTGTCTATGCGGCTGGCAACACCAATGGCCGTCAATGTCCTTCCTCTTGTCTTCCACTTGTGAGACTTGACGACACCCAATCGTGATACATACGGCGAATCGCAAACCTTGATGGCCCAGGAACCGCGCCTTTTCTCAATTCTCCACGACGCACGTCGAATGACTGTGATTTTTCATACCAGATATTACTTTACCGACAGATGATTCCATTATTCGAGTTTGAAGCTATTGATGATTATGTTTGTGGGCTATATATACTGTGGATTCTCTTCAATTCTGCTAAAGAGGGAGGGTACGGGAGTTTTGGGCCGTTCAAGCTGGCCGGAGAGGGGTTTGTTTCACTGGGAAGTCCGGGACACGTTTACCACGGTTTCCGAAAACAATGTCTTCGCCACCAGGGAGTACCTTTTCGGAAAATCACCCTTGTGACTTGCGGAAACTGTGCAGCCGTTGCGGCTGCAGTTACCCCTGAAATCCGGTGCGAGCGTGTGTCTGTGTCGCCTTAGATGGAAAGCCACTTGACCGCGCAGGTAGACATGCCAGGGCTTAACGGGAGGAGGCGGTGTTGCGTGAGGCGGAGAGAGAAGGGAAAAGAGGAAGTTACAGGAAAGGACAACCGGGCAGACAAAGATTTGATATGTTCTTCTTTTGCAAGTTTGGGGTTTTTGGGTTGGGATATCCTAATGCGCTGGAGTAATTGGTACGGGAGTTCGCTTCGGAATGGGTTTGGATGGTTCCCGGTCAGGCTTAGGGTAGTTATCGAATCGGAATCGGATCAGATTGGACTGGTTTGGATTGAGGCTTGTAGGAATCTATTGAATTTGGCGTCTTCCTACTCCTGGATATGGCTGCTGCCGAGATTCGGGGCTTGCTAAATCGGTTGTTTATTTTCTGTTTACAAAATCTGCTTTCCACACTATCCAACTCCGTGCTTCATGGTATGTATACCTCGTTTAACGATCTGCAGATTTATAACTTCGGAGGCTATATGGAGGAAACTTTTCCGTTATCTATCATTGCATAAATAATTTTCATGCTGTACAACATCAAATGCCAAGCAGTCACTTAATTTCCGAGAGTCACACTACGTACATTCAGTTCAACAAACGCTGTGATATGCCGAACAGTATTGAAAAGTGGTTAGGTCAAGCTGCCGACTAACGTTGAAGTGGTGAGACGGGATTTGAGGTCATAAAGCGTAATCTAGAGAAGTTAATGAAGGATAGAATCGGTGGTAACAAGTTAGTAGTTAGTGTGTAGGAAATGAAATCAGACGGTATGGCAAGTGGATAGACGCGATTTAACTCCGAGAGGAATAAATGCCTGTTCATTTGGATATTTATATCTCAGTCACAAAGCATGGATAATCTGACGACCATATAGATATGGTCAAAACCACAGCTATAATCTGCTTGAGGATGCTGGTTACTATTCCCCCCACAAACAAGTAAAGTGGGTCAGCCTGCAGACACCTGGGAAGCCCTGTCTTCGGCACAAGAATGGAATGATTTAACAATATTTTGAACTAGTTCACTAGCTAATGTAACCTTCCCGATGGTGATCGTTGCGAAACGGCTAAATAAAATAAGAGGCAATGAACAACATAATAATTTGAATCAATCTTGCACGTTGCGGTGGGGGCCAAAACCTGGAAACCAAACCTTGGCGTTCCCGACCCTGATTCTTCTTCCCCTCTACCCCTTGCTCGCGATTCTCTGGGCAATCAAAACATACCGAACCCTGCACAATGATCGAAAGCCAGATTGAAATTACTGCACCGCCCACGAAAGTGCGGGAAGTGGTATGTGCCGTACTAGCCACACTGGGAGAATGATGGAAGCTCATCATTCCTTAACCACCAGCTCCTCAATTTCTCAGCACATCCAGAATGGCACACGAAGTGGCTAAAGGAAGTCAAGCCCGAAGATGACTCCAAAATGGGACTTTCGCTTGTTCCGGGAGATAAGGTACATGTTAATATCGAAGGCATGAAGTTTACCGCCGAAATTACGGTAGGCATGCATAGGCAAGGACCCTTAAATCAAAACGGAATGCTGAGATCTGAGAAAGGAAAATTCCGAAAACCTATTCCAATGGCAAGGCCCTCCAGTCTTTACCATTGCCGGTCTCCATTCTTTTCACATCGAACCGACCAACGATGGGTCATCTACTATTTTCAAGCAGACGGAGGAACCCAAGGGATTGATGTCATGGCTCTTGAGCCCTTACGTTCTAGGAAGATTCCTAGCGGCTGATTTTGCTGGCTTTAATAAAGATCTCAAGGATCGGGCCGAGGCCTAATCTAGCGTTGCTTCCAATTGCTGGGGGGTGTGCTTCAAGGCCGTTGTTATTGGCACAATTGTTATTTTCCTTGTCATTTTGTTCTTTTCTGGGTTTTCGTTTAGCATATCCTCCTCTGATGCTTCTATATATACCCCCTGAAGGCAAATTTAGTGCTTCTGATGGTAGTTTAATCTGATATTACTCTCAGATCCGTCGCTGACAAGCTATAAGAATCTGTACCAAGCCATTAATGTATCGCAATCATGTGGAGCCTAAGCATCATCTCCGCAGGAAACCATTCGCTAGTAGCTCAAATACTTGACTGCTCTTAGTGTCCCGAGGTTCTTTCTCTATTGGTCTGAATGTACCCCGCACTCCGGGGTCAATCCCCCAATCCCCAAGGAAATTCCGAGACGTCGGAGATCTTCTTGCTGGTCACTGCTCGACCTCCGTTTTATGCCCATTAAATTATCTCAATGGATCAGCCCGCATTCCGAATCCGAAAGCGCACTCCACAAGCATGTAGACGCTGTCGCCGTCGGAAACAACGATGCATCGGGTTTCCGACCTGTGCAAACTGCGAGGCTGCAAACTTGCCTTGCGCAAGATCAGAGACTGAGCGACCCGAGAGCGCACCGGAAAGATACCACGGCATGTCGAAGGATGCGCTGTTCAGCAGAATTGAGACTCTAGAGGCTCAGCTGAGCGCTATGTCAGGGGCCAATTCAGCTCCATGTACAGCTGAAAACAACCCAGGGCACTACTTTTCAGGAAATGGCCAGTTTTCCGATGTGGTGGACTGCTTGACATTGGGACATGTTGTAGGCAATGAGCCAGCACATCTCGGCCCCTCATCAGGAAAGATGATCGCAACGAGCTTGGACCTGATGATGAAAGATGCTGTTTGGATGAATGCTCTGTCAGATGCGAGTAGCCGGGAACAGTGGCATGGGCCCCGTCGAAATTCTACCCGGCAGAACCGTATAGGCCCTCCAACAGATATAGAAGGGTCGAAATTCATCCAGGCCTATTTCGGAAACCTGCATCAACTATTCCCTTTTCTAGACCGGACCGAGATATTCCTGTTACATACGAAGAGAAACCAACTGCTTGAGCCTAATTCGACGAAAAGATGGGAAGCATTCAAGCTCTTCACGGTATATGCCATTGGATCAGCCATGCAGAAGGCCCCAGACCGATACAACTCCGCCGCCCCTGAGGACCTCTTCCGGATTGCCTTGAATTTCAAAGACCCTGTCTTGCAATCTCGTTCCATTCGAAATATCGAGGGAATGATATTGCTCATCATTTACAATTTGCGTTCGACATCCAGCTCCACAATATGGTATTTGATTGGGCTCGCAATGAGAACTGCAATCGATCTAGGGTTGCACAGAGAGATCAATTATCTCAACCTCAAATACTGCGAGTCTCAAGCAAGGCGCAGAATGTTTTGGAGTGTTTATGTACTCGATCGCCATATCGCATGGTCTCTCGGGCGGCCCTTCAATATCGCAGATCATGATATCGATGTCGACCTCCCAGTCAATTTTGAGAAACCTTTTCAAGCTTCTCCTGTTGACCAGCTGACAAATTCTGAGGAGGAAAGCCTCACAAAGAGCCTCGGCCCCTTTGTTCCTTCTATCAGATTGGCCCGGTTAAGATCACAAATTCATAACAAAATCTACCGTGTCGACAAAGATATTTCTGGATTGCTCCCCATGGTTCCTTCATTGCTGTCCTCTCTTGAAGACTACGAAAGGTCATTGCCTTCTAGTCTCTCGCAGGCTGACAACGAGTGGATCCATATGCACTGGAATAATGGTATTCGGATGATTCTCCAACCGTTCCTGAAGGAGCTTCCTCCAGACCATGATTTGGTTCGCGTTTGCATGAGAGCTTCGGGTCAGATGTGTCAACTCTTCAAGAAATTGCGCCAGAAAGACTACCTTGGCTGGGGCTATATCCTAGTCAACTTCATGTTTATGGCCGGGCTTACAATGTGGTGGGTATGTGTTCCAATGTGAACGAAGAGATTCGCTAATTCTGGTTATTAGTTATTGTCTTTTGCGATGTCCTCGACTGTGGTCAGTCACAATAGCTAACGACCTACGTGCCTGCTCTTCCATTCTTTATGATGTTGCAGACCGTAGCTTGTGCGTGAAGAAGTATCGTGACCTTTGGGAGGCTATCATCACAAACGTTATGGAAACCCTCGGCCAGGTGCCAGGTCAGTCTGATTTGGCAATTTATGGCGATCATCGAAGAATCGGCTGGGTTGATGGTAGCGCCATCGAAGTTCCGAGAAGTCCGGCTGCTCTATATAACTCGGCAAACCTATCTCGTTCTTGCCAGGAAAGGTGGTCTCCTGAGACTACCAATGGTATCTGCGTCCCACAAACGCATACGACATTTTCAGATTATATCTCCGATATCAACATAGTTGACGAGGCTCAATTCGATCCGGAGATGTTTTTTCGTGATATTCAAGACTGCTCGACAGAGATCGAGGGAACAGTGCGGAATCAGCCACAGCTCAATGACGGGGCAAACTTGGCGGAAGTCGAGAACATACTCTTAGAAGACTTTTGGGCAGGAGACAAATTCCGCTCGCAGATGTTAACAGAGCTTGTGCCAAAAAGTTCGGGTGGAGACTTCACTTTCGATACACCTCCCTCCCAGGCCATTGCAGATTCTCAGAACTAGAGTTCACATATGACTAGAACAAGATTTGGAAATCGGGATGAAGTTGAAAGTGAGCTATCCTGTTGTGTCTATCTTCTATCCTGCATAGCCTCATATCTGCTTTACATTGTGATTTCCTTGTTTTGGCTCTGCCTGGATAACCTCCATCGGCTTTAACTAGCGAGGAAAGGAGAATAAAGAGAGAAACAAGTAAATAAGAAAAGAACACCCGGGTTCGACCACCTGACTTGAACCCAGAAAAAGGGCCGTCCCTTAACAAGGCCCATCCGAGCTCGCACAATCCATGCAATAGGAGCAGGGCTTAAGCTGGTATATAAGGGTGCATTATTGGAGTCACACTGCAATAAACTAGACAGATACATGTCGGTAGTTAGAAAGTCTACCCGAAAAATAGGGACGAGGCCGAAGAATCGGGGTAGGGCCCGAAAAATAGGCTTTAACCTGACCGATCCCGAAGCCCTAGCGCGGTCATACGAGCGGTCGCAATTGGCTAAAATCAAGCATGTACAAATGTTTACGGTACAGTACGCTATTCCGTGATACTGTCTGTAATTGAGACATATGAGATGGGTTCAATTCTTTTAGTAGATTCTACTTTATCTCTTCCTGCATTAGGTTGTTTGGCCACCGAGGAGAATCGTGGCCATTTCCTCGAGTTCCAATGTTGTAGCCAAGGCGTATATCACTCTTCCCGAAATCGATCACTGGCTTGACTATCCTGATGTTGGCCTTCAATGCCTGGCTTTCCCGTGTCTCGAAAAATGCAGGATTAAACAAAACATTTCCTCTTTCCTTCTCCAGTGAGTTCAGAACTCGAGACGCTGTGGATTGTGGATTGTTGTACGAGCTATCATGCGCGAGGAATCGTCAGAATCAATAACCATCAACGCAACAAAAGCACTTACCGAAATTTCATCCTGCCATTCTGAGCCCACAGGGTGTCCCATACATCTTTTGGATACTCGCCAACATCGTTCACGAGCCACTGGTTGTAGTAGTTCAGGGCCGTCTCAGCGATATAACTACCCCCGGTCTCCCCTCTCTTCATCAAGGCGATTAGCACAGCACAAATGCCGGAGACACCGGTCATATAATCACTGTTTGGAAAAATTGCCGTTACGCTCTCTCCGTCTTTCAGTCCCATGGCCTTGCCGAAGGCATGAGATACACCAACGCAGGAATCACTGATCTGCTGCCAGCCACTGCGGTGAGACCAAGGACCGTACCACCCGTAGCAGTTCTCTTGAAGTATGACAATTCCTCGCAGACGATCTTTCGTCATGTTTAAGATGCCTTGTGGGCCGAAACCGTGCTTCTCGAGCGAACCGGGTCGATAACCTTGAATGACAACGTCTGCTTCGGAAATAAGATCACGTAAATTTTGCTTCCCTTCCTCTGTCGTAAGATCTATACTGCAGTTCCATTTGCCCCAGTTAAGATCAATATGTAGATTATGAAGATCTGGAAGTTTCGGGGAAGTGACGCGCATGACGGATGCTCCTAGTTCAGCAAGGCCGCGAGATATCGCTGGTGCGGCAATGATTCGGGACATATCCACTACCTTGAGACCTGCAAGTGGTCTTTGAGAAGGATTCTGACCAGAGGGAGTGGACCACCATGTTGGAACTTGTGCTGAAGATGGACAGTCGTGGATCTCAAACAGCGATACATGAGAATTTGCTTTTCCATGCTCGGTTTCCCGGAATGAATCAGCAGAATGGCAGATGACACCGGCTTGTTGGTGGACATCCGATACTTGATGCTGCAAATCCTCGCTGTCATATCTTGAGATTCGCTCGATAAAAGGCGCCACAGCTTCTTCATTGCTTGACACTTCCATGTTACGCGGAAGCCCAAGCATGTCCAAGGTAATATCTGGCTGCAGACTCCCGTGAAGATTGAAGTAGCGCCCATCTGCTGTTCGATAGATACTTGTGACCATTTTACGGTACAGTGTTGTATCCCTCCCATGGAAATTGTAGTCCGGAATCATCTTGTCAAGGAGATGTGCATTCCGAGTGCGCGAGATAGCATCTTTAGAGTCGGGATTGATTGTCCATAGATAGCAAGACATCAGAAAGAGCTGAGCGTGGTCGGTGTTAATTGTGGCCCTGTCGACCGAGAGACCTTCTTTCTTCTTCATTAATGCTGCGATAAGAGATGCCTCGAGGGCCTTGAGCGCCGCTGCTGACTCTGCAAAGCGCCAGTTGACGGGAATACTGGGTTCATTGTTGCCAGAGAATGTGATTCGAGCTGAGAAATCGACTGCTTCAGGAGGCAAGTGCTTTCTGATCCAGCCTTTATTGAGAATCCCTTCTTCAAACACCCGCCGTGCATTCAGTGGAACAGAGTAAGATTGCGAGGAAGCTGATCCATTCATATTGAAAGGCTCAAGGTGTGGAAGATTCAAAAGGTTCTCAAAAATAAAGAAAAAGAAGATGCTTGATTTAGATGGACACACTCTGCATAAGGGGAACCACGAAGTCTTAAGAGGCAGATAGTCCCTGCGACATTTTCCTCCGCACCAAACATACCTGTTCCGATGCATGGCTAGATTTACTAGCGTTGACAACACGTTACGGTACTTTGCCATTCCTATTCCAGGCTTTGTCGGACCCACTTCATGGATTCCCCGCGTGAAGGCTGGGGTAAATTGTTGAATGACTGCCTGCGGTGACGACGTCTTTAAAACCGCGTTTCCCTCAGGTTCAAAAGGCAGTCTCAGAGCTCGTAATTTTCTAATCCAATCTGATCGAGTTATTGCGCTGGGCTTCAGTTTCAATTGATTCAACATTTATTCAACGTATCAAGAATCCAGTGTCACGAACAGTGTTGGAACACATGGCTGTCCGCACAGACGATCCTTTTCGTGTTCCTGAAGGCATGGCCGCACATGATGAGGAAGCCGTTCATCCGGAGAAGGCTTTTGAAAGTGAAAACCTGGATGAGGACCTTGAATTCAGCTACGATGAGCAACGAAAAATCATTCACCGCATCGACCGACGCTTGATTGGTGTTCTCGGCTTTTTGCATATGGTGTCCCTGATGGATAGGGGGAATATAGGAGCGGCCGCAATAGCCGGAATGAAGCAGGGACTAGATCTTGTTGGATTTCGATATGTCAGTTCCAGCAAACTCCTTTGTGGCCAATCACAACTGACCCCTTTGATTAGAGCATCATTGCACTTTGTTTCTTTCCAACATACATTGTTGGCCAAGTATTTGGCTCAGTTTTCATTCGCAAACTAGGACCCGTTGGTTTCCTTTCAGGAACTACTTTCTTAATGGGTATTGTCATGGTATGTTCAGTTAACACTTCTTCTCGAGAATGATTACTGACATTACTGCAGATGTGCGGCGGATTTGTGAAGAAATGGTCTGAGATGGTGGCTATTCGGGCAATCATTGGTGCTTTTGAGGCGGGATTTTTTCCAGGATGCGTCTATTTAATTTCTACTTGGTATTCCCGCTATGACATGCAGAAACGATACGCTGTCTTCTATTTACTGGGCTGTGTCGCCTCAGCATTTGTGGGTATCTTGTCATATGGGATCATGCAAATGGTAGGCGATATACACTCGCATGGTGTTCAAGACTTCAACGCTAATACCTGATTTATAGAATGGTTTAGCAGGAATTGATGGTTGGCGGTGGATTTTCATAATTGAGGGCCTAATTACTTGCTCTCTCGGCATTCTCGGCGCGTTAACTCTCATTGATTTTCCTGACCGCATGAAAGTTTCTCGGCGCCGCTTTCTCTCCGACAGAGAGTACGACTTCATCTTACGTCGCATATCACGAGACCGCGGTGATGCGGAACTGGACGAATTCCATTGGAAGAAGTATTTCTCTGCAGCTCTTGATGTAAAACCTTGGGCTTTCGGTTTTATCTTCTTCTGTACAACTACAGTTGCCTACGCAATCTCCTACTTCATGCCGATCATATTGAATGAAGAGATGGGGTTCTCGATAGGGACATCACTTTGCTTATATGCTCCGCCCTACGCAGCATCTGCTATTGTGACTTATGGCACAGCGTGGTTTGCGGATAAATACCGACTCCGTGGGCCTGTCCTGATATTCAATGCGCTCTTATGTTTGATTGGGCTGCCACTTATGGTAACTAAATATGTCATTCCGAGAAAACAATGACAAGGGCTGACATTCAAGTTAGGCATTTACACAGAATACAGGATCGCGTCTTTTTGGCGTATTTTTGACGACAATTGGGCCGGTTGGCAACGTCCCAGCGGCAATGGCCTATCAAGCAAACAATATTCGCGGCCAGTGGAAACGGGCGCTTTGCACTGCCGTGTTTGTAGGATTTGGTGGAACTGGAGGAATGGCTGGGTCGCTGGTCTTCAGGTCCCAGGATGCACCTTCATATCATCCGGGGATTATAGCCTGTATGGCCTGCAGCGGACTATTGATTCTTATTGTGCTACTGCTATCGCTTCATTTCAGGCGGTGCAATCGAAAAGTTGATCAGGGACTCCTTGTTCTTGAGGGACTGCCTGGATTTAAGTACACGTACTAGGTACTAGCCCAGGGACGAGAATATCACAGACGTATACTAAATTAGAAGGCAAAACACATTGTATCAAGTTATGACTGGCTAAGGATAGCAGAGGTAGCCTCTACCTTTTCTTTCCGTCCTGTCTTTCTCTTGGAAGCTCCTCGGTAAGCTCCAGCTGCTGTGCCTGGAGAATCTGAGCCATGGCATCTTCGGTCTGCAGATATGTTTGGCTCCCTTTGATAACCCAGAATGTCACAGAAGCAATGAGCATGACTCCAAGGACTGCGATTGCGTAATTCATGTCACTCGGAGTGGGATTGGGGGTGTAAGGAAAGAGAAAGAAGACAGTCGTAATAATGCAGTAAATTATGCTGATCCAGTTGAGGGCGAGGCCCCAACGGCCAAGGTCGTAGAGGGATGGTGGCATTTGGTCACGCCCAGTAAATAGCAGAGTCACAATAGGTATCGCATAAGAAATGTTCAAAGCGATAGTGCTCACACTCAATATAGCTTGAAGCACTGTGTCGGAAAAGAGATATAGGACACCCACAAGGCTGATCAAAATGCCCTGGGCCCATAAAGCGCGAATGGGAGCTTTCCACACAGGATCAACATAGCTCAAGTATCTTGGCAAGCCGCCATCGCGAGCGAATCCCCAAGTTAGACGTGAGCTGGTGGTAACAACACTGACGCCCTGTCCTATTCCGTTGAAGGTAAAGAGAGCAATAAGTGTAGCACCCCCTTCGAGGCCAACAGTCTCCCGAACGAGGTCAATGAATGGTAAAGGAGCACGCAGGAGGTTACCCAAATCTTGAATGCAGAAAAGGCATACGATCATGAAGATGAAGCCTGTTACTGCACCAAAAAGTACTGCCATCCAAATGATACGAGGAACATTCTGGCGAGGCGCTGGGATTTCTTCCACCATATGGATAACCGAATCAAATGCAGTTAATCCATATGCTGCTTGTACCATCCCTGTAAACCATACCACCCCATCACTCCAGCCGGTATTGTTGTTCCATTTCCCAAAAACAAAGGCCGGGGATTGAAAAGACAAGTCGCTTTTGATCCCCACTGATATTAGCAGGGCCAGGGAAAGAACGACAAACATGCCGATGTACCAGATTGCAACAAAATTGTTCAACCATGGAAGTACCTGCTCCTTGCGACAACCAACAACATTGATGGCGGTCAAGAGAAATGTGACACCAACGTACACCATGAAATTGACCCAGCCAGTGGGCTCCCAGGTCGGGTCAAACATGGTCTTAATCTCTAGCAGAAATTCTGCCAAGAACGCATTCAGAGAGGCTGCCGCAGTCCACCAGCCAAATGTATTTATCCAGGCACACATGTAGGAAACGAAACGGCCAGTGGGTGTTTTCCAGAGTCGATATACCCAGTACGCCTGTCCAAGGGCTGTTGGCATGCTGCTTGTCAATTCGCCCAAAGAAAGCGCAATGCAGATGTTGCATGCGGTGACAACTATCATTCCCCAGAGGATAGAGATAGAGCCACCATTTGTCAAGCCTTCACTGAGATCCTGTGCGAAAACATAATAGGTTCCTGGACTTTGAATCAGCCACGAATGAATAAGGCAGATCATGAACAAATGCATACCCAGGACGCAGAATGTGAGAGAAAGCATGCTCCACATATCGAATTTCCGAGTTAAGGCTTGGCTATGCCCCAGCATAGCAAGATCTTGCGCATCTTGTACATCTTGATCAGATAGGCTCGGCTTGAGAGGCTGTTCCAGATCCATGTTAAACGAGCTGGTGCCAAAGAGATCAAACAAGAAACAGAACCGCGGAGACTTTTCCTACGAAGTAAGAAGAGCGATATGGAATATTTATATTCTTTTCCAATTATAACGCTTTTGCTCACTTGTTAACCATGCTCTCAGTTTGATTGAAAAAAAAAAAAAAAAAAAAAAAAAAAAAAAAAGATAAGGTGGCCTTGCAGCGAATAAAATTTAACGATTCCAGTTTTCTGGGCCACACTGGAACCTTAGCCTTCGGAGCCCAGCGGCGGGTCGCGGAGATGCGGGGTATCCGGAACATGAATTGATAGTGATGAATATGTGAATAATGGGTCGAATTTTACGACAGACTCTTAATTGGTTGCCGACTCGAATCCTGGTCGTATCTTAGGGGCAAGCCGATACCTCAATGAGGAAAGAGAACACGACCATAATCTTACTATAGGTTTTAAGATGATCAATCATGACGGCTTGATTTTGAGTTTTGTTGCAATGGTATCAGAAAGACCTGGCTTGTTATTGATGAAGCCAAAGCTTAGAGCTTGTTGCCTGTTTATGCCTACCTATCCTATTGCATAGGTTTCTCTTTCCCTTCGCGGGTATTCTTAAACTTTTTCTGCCCGAGCGGACTTTTCTCCGCTGTTGTGTCGGGAGAGACAACAGCTCTCGAATTCAAGGTTAATGGATCCGAGTAGCGCTAGGAACTTTCCTTAATCTGACTGTCAATTACGTAATCGCGCCGACATTCTACTGTAATGCCCCCAGATTTGGTATTATGATGAATACACAAGCGACAAGTGCTCAGTCTAGAACTCATATCACAAAACCAAAGCGGTGGATAATTTTATCTCCATTGGATTTGATGCTGGCTATCTGGACTACCTTTCAGAAACCGCCGCTGATATCAACGACAGGCTGGGTGGAGCAATGTATAACGCCACCATTCAGAGGAAGAGCATTGACATGTAGTTGCGTGACAATTCGATCAGGGCACAGTTCCTTCATGGTCTTCAGTGCTTGTATGTCCTTTTGTGGATCCCCAAAGGCAGGGATAATCAGCCCTCCATTGACAAAATAGAAGTTCACATAGTTGGTGGCAGGATCCTCATGCTTTGAATTCTTTGTAAACTTCGGGTCGGGCTCATCGATTGTGTGAATTTGAAATTGGCGACATTTTGCATCTTTCTCAAGTGTGAGCGCTCTTTTCACTTGCTCGTAGACATCCCACCATTCTTTCGGGGCAGATTCATGAGGCCGAGAGAGAACAACAACACCAGGCCGAATAAACTGCACTTCCGCGTCTGCATGAACATCTGTGACATCCAGGTCTTTAAATCCCGGAAACCAGATAAACTTCTCAACTCCAAGCAAGCTGCTCAGCTCTTCTTCGATAGCCTGCTTAGACAGTCCAGGATTTCTTTCGTTGTCAATGATGCTGCTCTCACTGGCAATCAGTGTACCGTCGCCATCACAAACTATAGCGCCTCCTTCCAAACGAACTTTTGATTCGATACAGGTCGCTGGGAAAGGGTGGATGTCGTTTTCAATCACCCGTTTGGCGAAAGTTGCATTTTTTCGAATCTCATCTTCACCCAAGTTTGGCCACTCGTAGTCGATCTCTGATCCGTGCTCCGGAGGGATTTTGTTGCCCCATTCGTGGAACCTGAAATTGATCGCTAACCGCTTGTTTTTGTTTTCTGGGCTTGAATCATTACCAATAACGTATACTGGCGCTGTATCGCGAACCCAGAGATGGTTGGTGTCAAATGGAATGATGTCGACCCCAAAGGAGCCGCAGTCCTTGTTGCTAATCATTGATTGTGCCAATTTGACATCTTCAGGCTTCGTGTACAGACGCACTGGCTCAAATGTGGATATTAACTTAGCCAGTTGAGATATTTCCTGGCATGCATTGTGATAGTGGACAGGGGGCAATGAGCATTTGGAGGGAAACCCGAGTATTGTCGCAATATGGCGAGCAGTTTCAGCCGGATATTTAAACCTTGCAAAGAATCTATTAGTTTCATATTTCAACATTCGTGGACATTCTTGAACATTCACTGACTTGGCGGTCATTGTTGCGGAAAGAAAGCAAATGGTGTCAGACCGAAACCAATATCAAGGGTGGCTCGACGTTTTCTCTTTGTGAGTTTGTGGTTCAAGCCATTGGATGGTATTAGGAAGGGATAATATATATATATATATAGGAATTTGGTTGAAGTGATTAAAATTAATTGTCACTGGCAGCGAGAAATACCTCGTTGTCCAAACTATTCCCTTGCTAGCTCATGAGATTGCTTTTCGGAGTCCGCGGGCTGCGAAAGCGCGATTTTCTCTCATGACACATGGTTATCTTGAAATCGATCCTTAGATAATAGTGGATACTGAGACCGGGGCGAAACCCAACAGCGGACTTTTGTCCGCTCGGCCAAAAACCGGGGTAGATATCTCAAGCCAATCAGATTATTCTCCCGCGAGTTCAGATATTTGCAGCTTGAGCCACCTCGAATCGCCTTAAACCTCTGAAGGAAAGTCCAAGCAGCTTGACAATAGCAGACAATTAAGAATTGTCCAGTTTACAACACCTTGGGGTCTATCCTTCTCGATTTCAGGGATCTCCACTGCCCCCGGATCGTCCGAATAAGTGAACCAATAGCGACAACTTGCGACCTGGATCAACTACATGGAACTTTGGTATCTCCTATTCTACCCAATTAATACCTCCGAATGTTATGAAAATTTAATGGTTAGTTTGAGGGCAAAGTCAGAGTTTGAACCAGGATTAGCGTCTAGGGTCAGGATCAGTCACCTGGGTAGACAAGCCGAAAGGGGAAGGCAACTCGAGTACTCCGCAGAGAAACGACATCCGTAGGGTGTCAGCCCTGTTCTTTTCTCACCGAGCCGGATGTAATCTACTCGGTTTCTCAAGGCATAAGTTGTCAATTGGAGAAGAGTGACGTAACATTCTCTTTAGTCAGTTTCCGACTGACTTTGGTTTTTTCTTTTCGGCTGAGAGTACTGTGCCTAGCCAAGAGCGGGCCAGTATTATCTACTCGGCTATATATACTGCGGAACACCCATGTCTATTAACCTCTCACGCGTTTTATTGTGCAAAGACGCATCCAAACTCCCTGGCCTTCATCTCATTTCCCCCCTTGAATCCTTAAAAAAAAGGAAAGAGTAAGTCCTTCTCTGTAATTTGTTGTCAAGATAAATAATAATTTATCATATGCAGACCATGGCGGAAAGAGAAGAGTACATGAGTATTCTTGATGCAAGCATCTCGGACATTTTATCGGCACTTTCCTTAAGGCACATTACAAGCGTTGAATTGGTTGTGCGGTATATTCGACGTATCAGCACTTACGATGCGGCTGGAATCAAACTTAGCGCTATTCCGATCCTCAACGCTTCCGTCTTTGAAGAAGCTGCTGCATCAGATGCTCGTAGGGCTATGGGGAACTCTCCCAGACCTCTTGAAGGCATTCCATTCTTAGTGAAGGATAATATCAAAGTCAAGGGAATGACAGTTGCCGCTGGCTCACCAGCTTTCGAAAACCTTGTTGCAACAGATGATGCAACATGCGTCAAGCAGTTGAGAGCTGCTGGCGCCATTGTCCTTGGTAGGACAAACATGCCCGCGATGGCCAATGGGGGAATGCAGCGTGGTTGCTATGGTCGGGCAGAAAGCCCATACAATCTCAACTATCTAACCGCAGCCTACGCATCTGGTTCGTCAAACGGTTCTGCCACGGCAACGGCAGCTAGTTTTGCAGCTTTCGGTTTAGGCACAGAAACTGTGTCCTCTGGAAGATCTCCTGCGTCAAATAACTCGCTCGTTGCGTATACTCCGTCAAGAGGTCTCCTTTCGCTAGAAGGGGTATTCCCCTTATATCCAACGTGCGATGTACTAGTTCCTCTCACGCGGACAATGGACGACATGCTTCGCGTTCTCGATGTTCTCGCAGTGAATGTTTCGAAATCAACTGGAGACTTTTGGAACGAACAGCCCTTTGTTCCGCTACCCACGGCTGACCAAACTCGACCCGATTCTTTTATGGCGCTTAAAGATGAAAAATCTTTAAAAGGAAAGCGGCTCGCAATACCTTCCATGTACTTGGGGGCGGAAGGTCCTGTGCCTATATCAATTCGACCTTCCGTGATCAAGCTGTGGGAGACTGCCAAACAAAGTCTGGAATCATGCGGTGCAACCGTTGTGGAAGTTGATGACTTTCCTCTTGTAACGACATACGAAGCCTGCGACCCAACCACTGATCAGTGGGCAAATATTGAGGGGCTACCAGAGCGATGGCTCAAAACTGAACGCTGTGAACTTATAGCTCATGTCTGGGATGACTTCTTGATTGCCAATGGCCAATCTAACTGCCAGTCTTTGTCGCAAGTCGATCCTCATATGATCTTTCCACTTGAACCTGGGACGTTACAGGGAGAAGACGAAGCAGACAATCAATTGAGTTGGCTCGATTTGGTGAATTATCCATCAAAGAAGCCAGCCTCTATGTTTGAGCTCCCAGGCATGGAACAAGCCTTACAGGCGTTGGAACATGCAAGAAAGCAGACATTGGAAGACTGGATGGTAACCAAAAATTTGGACGCAGTGGTCTTTCCAGCAAACGGTGATGCAGGACCCTCGAATGCGGATGTTGACACCGAGGGATCCCGGCTGGCTTGGAGGAACGGAGTTTTGTATTCAAACGGCAATCTGGCAATCCGCCATTTGGGTGTTCCAACCGTCTCCATTCCGATGGGAATCATGGGGGATATCAAAATGCCTGTCAATTTGACTTTCGCTGGAAAGGCTTACAATGACAACGCTCTTCTGAAGTTCGGATACGCTTTTGAAGCAGCAACTCGAAACCGCCAAAAGCCACCATTGGTGCCGGCTCTCAGCTCTGACTTCATTGATCTAAGGCCTACAACTCAAAGTTACGACGGAGATTTTGCAAAGTTGGCGTTACCTTCCATGACAGTCAGTATGAGGAGCAAAGAAATCAGAGGATCGCAAGTTCATCTTCAAGTGCAGGGTACGATGGATCTAAAGAACTCCGAGCTCCAAAATATGTCTTGCTACATCAATGGCGTGTCCCAAGAGGTCTCCGTTAATGACGAGAATTGGAAGATCGAGCTTTGTTACCCAGTATCGACTCGCGAGATGTCTTGGAAGCGATGGACAAGCCCATTGTTGGTGCGCACGATTTGTGTGGTTGTTTGCCGCACAACCGCTGGTCTCTCAGCTGCAGAGCTGGTTATCTCTTAAAAAGGTCTTGACATATTGACATTAGACGTTGTCTCCAAGGATAAGATATAAGAATCCGATGCTTATTGACGAGAGTTTCGAATATGGTCAGAGTAGGATCAAAGTCCCTGAGCGGGTCCAAATACCGTTTCGCTTAAACGAAGTTATTCGTGATTTCTAGAAGGTGCGCCACAACCGAGACCTCTGTAGCAGTGAGACTGCTCAACAACGGATCCACGAGCCCGTAGTAATCGCTGTTTGTCATCACATGCTCGAAGATGAAGGCGATGATGTTTCGAGGCCCTCGGCGAATGGGGATCATGTTTGGGACGGAATAAGCTAGTCTCGACTGTACCCAAAGCATTAACAGAGTCTTGAATACGAGTAAGATGTGACTTGCGCTTCCGGAGGCGTTTGCGCAAGTAAAGTTAATAAGTGAGAGGTGGCTTTCCTTGGTCAGAATGAGACCCAAACTCATGACTCGTATTTTTGTCGGGGAGAACCATTTAGGTAGATCTATCATTTCGTTCCTTCCGGGCAGGGAAAGGTTACTAGTGTGGGTCGTTTCGTGGGACGCAGAAACCGCGTACCTGTGGACAAGCCCTGACATATCAAACTATAGCTCCACTTCGTGGGATACAGAGAAGTTCAGTAAAATTGGATTACAATTTTACTGAAAGGTGTGCTAAGATTAAGTCAGAAACTCAGCTTGGATCGGCTCTTCTCCCACGTTTCTTTTCCTTGGTTGTACACTGTCTACGGCCTGTACTGCTTCCGTTTCCTCCTGTAATATGTCGACAACCAACGGTATGCGCAGATGAAAAAATACATTCGAGGCATTGGTGCTGGCACATCAGCCAGATATGGTGATGCGGCAAGCGGGAAAGGTATCTGACACTGGGTGGACTTAATCCAAAAAAAGTCATCTACTGATTAAATATAAACAGGATTGGTCAAAACATTCGCGAGGGCTATAGCTACCTCTGCAGCCACTATAGGGATGACAACGATCAAATCTACCTGATAGGTTTCTCACGGGGCGCTTTCACCGTGAGATATGTTGCTAGCTTGATCAACGACGTTGGCTGCCTGGCCCGGCCTACCGATAACATTGTGCGAGCTGTCTATGGATTGTGGCAGAAGGTGACAGATTCAACAAATGATGAAAACCGCGGCCAGGCAGAAGCAAAATTGAAGGATTATTGTCAGACGCTGGGCTCGAATCGCCTCCGGTCCAATGTTACTATCAAGGCCTGTGCTGTCTGGGATACTGGAGCCGCGATAGGCTGGCCAGTTGCTAACAAGCCGAGATTTGTTTCCGTCAACTCCAACTTGTGCAACAACATCGAATACGCCTACCAAGCCCTGGCACTGGATGAGTTTCGCTTAAAATTTAAGCCAATATTGTGGGCAAAATCGACGCCTAAGCAGGTTTTGAAGCAATGCTGGTTCTTGGGATCTCATAGCGATGTTGGTGGCGGGTACCAGAACTGCGGCTACCCCAATATATCGTTGATCTGGATGATTACGCAGCTGTCCCGTTTACTCTCTTTCGATAGAAAAACGATCTGGGAACAGACTGACAATGGACGGATCCTTGATGTCAAGGTACCTAATTTTCGAATGTCTCAAAGGAACGAAATAGACGATCCTTTGGCACCTGAATTGGAAATATCAGATGAATCTGAGGATGTTGGCAATAGCCCAGCCCCAGAGTCCCGTGCACCGGAGCGGACGTACAGTGAACAGGTTTCCATTAGACGGACGAGGGTTCACAATTCTATGGGAGGAAGATCATCGGCCTGGCGGCTTGCCGGCTCGACTGTGCGCAAACCGGGACTGCTTCGTGGAAGAGACGATGACAAGCACCAACGGAATGGCTCTGTGACACCATTTGATGACGAAAATCTTGACACGTCGTCGGGCACAGACTTCGGTGGTAATGAGTTAATGCATATCAAGGTGAGGCTGCTACCAGAATTAGGTGTGCTGCCTCCATGCCAGTCAAAAGGAATGGCGAGATTCTTATCGCGCTTTCCATACTTTTGGAGGGCCACGCAACCTAATCTTCGAGCGCCGGCGGAGTGTTTCGCACTCAAGAATTACAGAGTCACAAAATTTCAACCACACCAATGGCAGTGTATCCGGCCTCCAATGCTTCCTCATCCTGTACCGGGAGACATCACTTTCCATTATGGAACAACCATACTACGCAGCTGGTTAGACAGGGACATTTACTTTAAGGAGGCCATTGGCGATGACAATTTCATCAGGACCATTGGCTTCCTGCCTGATCCGGAATCACTGGGCCCTCTCTGATCAAGGATCAAAGCTTTGCTTCGCTTCGCTTCTATATTCATACGGTGGATAATATAGTCCGAGGGCAGCTCTCATATCAAAACAAACTTCCATTTAACGAAATGGATTGGACAATTTTGGCTCTAAAATAGTTGACCGTGATATGGCTTCGGGAATCAAGCCAAGAACAACTAACATAAATTGCTCATGTTGATAGGAGGGTAAGGTTCTCCAGGCACGAGGACGGGACCGACTTTGCGCTTGTCTTTCTCAAGTCTCCCTGCTCTTCCATTTATACTTCTTCTCGGATTGCTTCCGGCACATCATTATGCGAGTCTAGAAAACCACCCTCTTCCACGTGGGTCACTAGACACCTCATGTGGTATGTCTTTTGATACTGCTTTTTTCCCATTGGGTACAGCCAATAGTAAAGGCCTAGGTGGCAAGAAGACTAATCGCATCGCATCAAATTAAAGATGCTACGCTAGAGTGATTATGACTAGAAGAGCTCTATTTAGCATCTAGCTGTGCATCTCGCTCGCCGAGCATCCATTTCGTGACGGACTTACGTCTTTTCTCCCTTTCCTGTCCAGTGGTCGGAGAGTGGTGGTCGTCTGCATACTGTACGTAGTAATTCAATGAGTCTTCTTCGATTCTCAAGCCTGCATGCCGAAAATGACCTATAGCGCTCGCTTGTTTTGCACCGACTACCTTCATACACCATTGGAGGAAGGTATCAAATCCTCGCTCGGGATCTCTTTCATAGCAGCCCAATTACGTTTGATGAAGCTTTTGAGCTCAGCGAAAAGCTCTTCGATGGGATTGAGGTCCGGCGAATAGGGCAGCAGATAGACCAGTTTCACCCCTGCGTCCTCATACAACTATACAACCCGCTCTGAGTGATGGAACGATGCATTGTCCATAACCAAAACAGATTTAGGCTCTAGCAATCTTCCGCAATACTAGAGAAGCTCAGTAATAAAGTCCGCAAACACCTCGGCATCCGTTGAACCGCGGAAGACACGTGAGAGAACGATCCCATTTTAGGCATACGCAGGCAGTATCTGATATCGCTGATCACGGTGGAACTATGTTACTTGCACAGGAGCCTTGCTAAGTGGGGACCACCCTATTCGTCTGAAGCCAATCCTTTTATCACACCCTGATTCGTCAACGTAAACCAAGTGATATAATTGAAATTCAGAAAGATTGTGCAGATAATAGTCTCTCAAGTCGGCATTTTGCTCCCTAGCACGTTGCCGCGCAGTCTTTTTAAACCAACCTTGAGCGACAAGGGCTCTTCGAATGCTAGAGGTTGTGACTAGGGACTAGAACTCATCCCAGAGGAAAACAGCCATTTCATCCAGGTAGAGGCCAGGCTTCTCAGATAGGTAGTCGCAGAGGGCTTCTATCATTAGCGGTGTTACGGTCCGTTTCCGACCGATTCGAGTTAGGGGTGCGTAGACTTTTTCAAACTGCCGCAAGTTTCTACGAATATTGATGATTGTAAGCTTGCTACATTCAGCTTCTTCTGCCATTTGAGATGTGGTGAGGGACCGGCTCTCTATCATATCACGAATGAGATGAAGCTTCCAGAGGGGGAGCCTAGGAGCCATACTATATGATGCAGCCTCAGATAAGCTTAGACAACGCTCAAAAGCGATGGATGAAGAATGTTGCCTAAGAGCTGGGTAGCAGGGAAGGAGGAACACGGACGTAGCGTGTGTTTGGCGGTTTCGTGTAAAATATACCCTTCCAGGTTTCACCTTCGTCATTGTAAAATACAGTGTCTATTCTGGGAAGTGGAGGATCGCCGGCCATACCATATCAAGACTAGCACGTTTCAGATTAGGGTTTGGGAATCAATTTGTAAGAGTGCAGAGGTATAACTGATTTCGAAAATTGCTGTAAGAACAAAGTAAACTAGCACTATGTTAAATCATGAGGCAAGCATCACATATGTAGCCTGGCTTATACTACTTTAAATGGATAACTCACTTAGTTAAGGATAGTTTAAGCTAACACTAGGAGGCTATTCCAAGTCTTAAGCTTTTTCAACATTATTTACGCTATGGTTACGACCTTAGTATAAACATCTTGCTACATTTTCTCCTTTCTATATATTATTTCCTCTACTTATCGATTTAGCTAGTCGACTTCTATCGGAAGACGCTTATACTAATCTAATAGACTCCGATCTTCTCGCTAAACTTAGGTTCCTAGTGATTGCGCCTTATAGCGCCGAGACCGTTCTTTCGCCACTTGTACTAAGTGCCGTTTGTGTCTTCTACTTTTCGAGTTCTTACTATAACTAGAGTGTTAGGGGCTAGTTGAAAATACCCCTATTAGTGAATCTCTACGAGGTTTGAGGTCTAAGAGATAACGGCATCGGATTGCTTACTAGATTTATTACTAGATATTGATTAAGAGTAAATCTCTCGTATAAGCTTCTTCATAGAGAATTGAAGAAGCTTCGGTTATTAAATATAGAGATCCTGTATTTAGGAATGTATTAAACGCTTATAGTAGTGAGAAGTGAGGCGGGGTTGTTATAACTCACAAGATTGCTTTGTTTCTTCTAGATTAAAAACTTGAGGTATATATAATATACTTCTTTGATTGTTACCTAATTAAGCCTAGTAATTCTGTAGACGTTACGAATATATCACATAGGAGTGCGTTATAGACGTATGCAATTCTCCGCTAAGGATGGATTATAGGGGCCAAGAACGGCCAAATAGAGCTATAGCACTTGTCAAGTACCTCTGTTCAAAAGCACTATTAGTAATAGACATTCCTTGTCTCTGAACTAGTGTGGATGTCTATTAATAGCAAACAACAGAGAGAAGCAATCCGTAGCTAGCGGCAATCGGTTGTCATACAAACTGAGCTACACGACCGTTGACTAATTAACAACATTTAATAGGGTTCAGTCACAACCTAGTTCTTCTAACTCTTTTCTTCGACGCTTAGGAGTAGGATAACATAAACAGTTTATTTGCTATTCGCCTTCTAGACAAGGTTGATGAAATAGTAACTTTGGTGTTTGGATCATATTGAATCCCCTATCAACAATACTTAGTCTCCTATCAACAACATTAAATTTTGTGAGGGACTAACTTATGCAAAGAGAATAAGGTTCTGGATTGAGAGGTGTACCCAGATAACCTATGTGGTTCTGTTCATCACATGTTCCTAGACGAACTTCCTTCTATCAGCACGTGTCTTCTATAAACACCCATCAACACCTACTAGTAGCGACCAACAACCTTCAACAGCCATTGAGAGACTTCAAATTGATTTCGATCCATCCTGTATCCCTTGATCGTCAACCATTTGCTGACTTCTACGAATGCGATGGCCGCTTTGACAAGCTTGAGCTGGGGTTTCCACGCCCTTGCACCGTCTACAACTATCTGGTTTATCCTCCAGGCATCGTGGTAAGCTACCGAAGAGTAGATCCCGCTACTTTCATCAAGGCGCGCCGCTGCTCAGTCTACGGCGTTGCAACGAAAGCTGTGCGACACCGTTTATTATTATTATGATTATCATTAATTCATTCGCCCGATGTAGCTCGCTTTATGTGCAGGCTGCTATGCGGAAGTGCTATCAGACCTGTCTGCAGCGAGGGAATGGGCAGAGCGCACCGTTTCATTCGTGTGCCTGAACCCAGAAGGATAGATCAAATGACAACTCAGAATAGATTAAAGGCGATATCTTTCATGCGATTACCGCACGGTTACCAAACGGACCGTTTACGCACATAGTCTCACAGCTCCTTCTGTTCAATTGGCTCAGAGCACACCAAGCCATGGGAAGCCCAGTGGATCACGTGAAAGCTAGCTTATAAGTAGGTGGATGAAGGAAAAACAGGGGCATGGCGACACCGTTTCATGTGCAGTGACACACGCATACAGATCGCTATCGTTTTGGAGTTCCGGTAAAGATAACAGAGAACACGAGGAGTTGAAGGGAGTGACCTCAGTGGCTCGTTTCTCAAGTTTGCAGAAGCTGGACGACTCCGAAGTTTCTCTTCGAAATCGTCTAGAGGAAGAAAATGTTTTTCGATATCCGCGTCATTAGCTCCTCGGTGGGGCTCGATGGGCGCGTGAGATGATTTGAGTTCAGTAGATGGTAATAGTTTGATAGTCTGTCCCTGCATCTTTTCGCAAGATAAGCTTCTGTCCATGGAAGGATAATATCCCACTGGGATGTCGAGAGCATCTTTAAATGTGGGATTCTGCGGGAAGGAGACTTCGTCGCTCTGGGTTGCGTTATTGTTGGTTTTCGAATTGATAGCGACGCACTGCCGAACCTCCAGGCTAAATTGGACTTTTGTGCGTTTCTTTGACGGAAACTGAGCCCAGATATACCTGGACCGCTCGGTTATGTAGCGAATAATGAATACAGCCATATGCGATAGCAGGCATTCGGGACATAGTAATCTGAGCCATGCTCCAGCGCCACCAGTTCTGAGAACGTCTTCCTCAAGGCCAAGGGGTCGAATTGCCGGCCGTTCAGTCGCCTGCGCTATGCAGAATGTGAAGGATAGCTGTGTTGTCCTTCGTTTCAGCGCTGATTTGGTGACCGATGGCCATGAGCTTTGACAGGGTGTGTGCAATTTCATCGGATATGCAGTAGGTGAAGGCTCAATGGACTTCCATGGCCCATAGAGCCAGGTAACGTCACTATCCTTCGCCCTAAAACCGAATTGTTAAAAATTGAGTTGACTGCAATCCGATCCGACTCAGAATCGACTAACCAATTCACACTGTCGGATGACACAGTGTTCAGCTGCTGTTGTCGCTTCATCCACGTCCTCCATAGTGCATTCTCCAGTCTGGTGCTGTTCCTCAAAGCTCTTTTCTCCCTGAGCACATATCTCCTTGTCATCCAAATATCCCCTTCCGTCCATACGTGCGAAAGGTAATCGACATTTATCAATGGTCCTTCTTCCAGGACGGCGTCATCGCAGTACATTTTTTATCGTGGATTCCGTAGGAGAAGACTCAACCTCTCTT